CTGAACCACTGTCACTCTGTCACCAGGATCACTCCCCTGCACCAGTGTTGCTGTGTGTCACCAGATTCGCTCTCCTGCAAGCCTGTCACTGTGCTTCCCTTCAGCGCTCTCACTGTGCTTCACTAAACTCCTGCCGCTCTCTACCTCACTGCCACAGATCCAGCACCTCACCTCCTCGTTCTGGCCTGGGTATTGCAGTTTACTGCAGTAGGCCACAGTAATCCAGTCAAGGAGGGCTTCAGTCACACTGAGTGGGGACTGGGGGGGGCGGGGTTGGCTCTATATTTGTCCCTTTTTTATTTCTGTTTTGTATTCTTCCAACTCTTCCCAGCGTATAACAGTGTTTCTGTAATAACACTGATAATAAGATCAGTAATAATAGTAGTGATAGCAAATGACGGAATATAGGAGGGAGCGAGAGAGTTGCTCCCCTCCCTCTGTGATGCCAAATCACATCAGAACCATTGTGATCCGAGTCACAAGAGGTGATTTTGAGGCACCACTCAGACTGACAGTTACAGAGTTGCTGACAGGTTGAGTTGTGACCGTAGACTTGTTTACACAGGCAATACTGTAAGAAACCATCATCATTATTATTGTTAGTTGTAGTTATTATCAGTGGCCACGGTTATAATCTCTTGTAAGATATTAAAAAAAGGGAAGATTTTTTTTCTTTTATCTCCGTGCTTCAGAACAAAACAAAAAAAGCAATGTAAAAATATATATATATATAAAAATATTAATAAAATAAAATCATGTATTTCAGCACCAGCCAAACCGAATGTCAGACTCCACCCTCAGATCAGACTGGGGAAGAGGGGAGTCAGGATTGGGCCAGTATGGACAGCACTAGGAGAGAAGAGAGTTCTGATTGGTCCGGTAGAGATGGCATCGGAAGAGAGGCGAGTTCTGATTGGTCCAGTAGAAACGGCGTCAGGAAAGAGGAGAGTTCTGATTGGTCTGGTAGAGACGGCATCAGGAGACAGGAGAGAGCTGACTGGTCCAGAGGAGACAGCACTAGAATTCTGGGAGGGGATTTGTCTGCTAAGAACTAGGAGAGAGGCGATGCGCTTGGTCCAGTAATGACTAGGTGAGAGGGGCATTACGACTGGTCGAAAAGATAGGACCTGGAGAGAGCTGAGTGGTGATTGGTCCATCAAGAGCCGCAACGGCAGAAAGGAGAGTTGTGATTGGCTGGTACTTGTTTAGTATATCACATTGTATTCCATTATGTCTCTTTATGCATAACAACAGTTCTCAATATTACTATTATTATTATGATGATGATGCTCTCAATACTGTATAGACTTACAAATACACACATAAAGGAAGCTGTGTTTCTTGTTACAAAATAAAAATTAAGAAAGTTTGTCTGGTCTCTTGTCATCTGCAGGGGTCAAAGATCTCAGTCAGCTGGGACTCAGATTGACCCCTAACCCCCCCTCCTCCACTCTATCTCTCTTTTTGGTTCATCTTAGGGTAAAAATTGTTTTTGTTACCATCATACGGCTGTCCTCTCTTCCAAAACCCTGCCCCCTCGCCTGTCACAACCTGTCCTCGATTAATTGGGGCAGAAGAGAATCGTTGGTTCACCACGACCAGAGTGACAGAGTACCAGAAACTGACCCCCCTGTTCATCGGTGCCTCTGGGAGGGGAGTCCAGAGCTCTCGCTGTCCCTGGATTGCGAGCTGATCCCTGGATACTCACCTGTAACCTTCAACCTTCCAACGTTCACGCTCGGCACTGAAGAGCTGACCCTCCTCAGAGCTGTCAGGCCAGCGAAAAACATGAGAAAGGCCGCAAAGGAGAGGCTATTTCCTAAACGAAACCAGGAGATTGGCTGCTGCAACAAGGCTGGGCGGCTTGTTCCACCCTCCCACCACCCTTAGTGTAAAGTGATGCCTCCTGTTCTCAGTTCTACATGCACTGAGCTGGAGATCCCACTTGTGCCCACTGGTTAGTGTTTCTGCTTTGTCGGTGTTGTTTACCCCTGTTTCCAGCTACAGGAATCCTGGAAGAGATCACGGATTTTTGATTTGCTTCCAACAATTTACACTCTTTTATCACCGAACGTGCTCGACTAGGCTTCCTTTCTGGAGCCTTTTCCAGAGCTGGAGCTCAAACTGCAGTTACTATAAAAACCCGTCCAGCACGATTTTAAATATTTTGACTAATTCTATAGGGCTGCTCTAATTGATTGAGATTGATCGAGCCCGCTGAACAACTGAGGAAATGATCAGAGCTCAGTTTTCAAAGTCTAACCGCGCTTCTTTCAACCGCCTCTGGAAAATTGGGGGGTGAGGTCCCCGTTTTCCCGGAACCGGTGGAAGGCTGGCCACAGCGGAGCAGGTACAGTTCGGAGTGGATCTAGCAGGGCGCCTAAGGCTCACACACCAGCCTCGAGCGCGAGAGCCCGAATCCTTTCGGAGGAAACCGCGCCGTCCCACCGCCGGGGCGACCGATTAACGAGACAAGACGCCGGAGCCTCGGTTTCAAACTGGGGTTTTTAATAGGGAGGTCCGGGGGGCCTCGCGGTACATCAGGGCCCCGGGCTCGGGAGCCGCGAGGCCGTCGGTGGACCAGCAGGGGAGGGAGGGGGGTGGCACCAGGGTTGAGAGTCCCTCTCTCTCGTGCGCGCGCCGGATCACGGCCCGTCTTCGGCTTTCTTTTCCCCTGCGCCCTCCCCCCCCGCCGCCCCGGCTGCCGCTGCCGCCGCCCCCCCCTGCCTGGCGTGGACCCGCTGGTGCGTCTTCAGGTTCCCCGAGTCGTTGAAGCTGCGGCCGCACTGGGCGCAGCGGTAGGGCTTGACGCCGGTGTGCAGGCGCCGGTGGGTGTTGAGGTTGGCGGCGTCGCCGAAGCTCTTGCCGCACTGCGGGCAGCCGTAGGGCCGCTCGCCCGTGTGGGTGCGCTGGTGGATCTTCAGGTGCTCCAGCTGGTTGAAGCGCTTGCCGCACTGCGCGCAGCAGTAGGGCCGCTCGCCCGTGTGGATGCGGGCGTGGGTCTTGAGGTGGTCCTGCTGGATGAAGCTCTTGCCGCACTGGGCGCAGCGGTAGGGCCGCTCGCCGGTGTGCACCAGCAGGTGCTTCTTCAGGTTGCTGGAGTAGCCGAAGCGCTTGCCGCAGAAGGAGCAGCTGTACATGCGCTCGGTGGTGTGGGTCTTCTGGTGGATGTGCAGGTAGTAGGACTGGCTGAAGCTCTTGCCGCACTGGGGGCAGCCGTAGGGCGTCTCGCCCGTGTGGACCCGCTGGTGGCGCTTCAGGCAGCTGGCGCGGATGAAGCGCTTGCCGCACTGCGGGCAGCCGTAGGGCCGCTCGCCCGTGTGGATGCGCTCGTGGGTCTTCAGGTCCCCCGAGTAGTTGAAGCCCTTCCCGCACTGGGAGCAGCGGTGCTGGCGGGGGGAGGGCCCCGCCCCTGCCTCTCGGATGGCGGCGCCGGCGGTGGTCCCGGTGCCCGTGGCGGTCGCCAAGGCCAGGGGCGCCCGCAGTGCCGTCTC